GCAAGGCATGTGATATTGAGGGTACCATGAGATGGCAGACCAAGGGCACTAAGTGTCTTAACCTCAATAGTCCACGTGCCCTTCTTCTGACGGCTGCCAGCCAGAAGCCTCACCACACGAGCCTTGGTGTCAACTGTGGCGTACACATCCACGATCATGTCTGGGGACGGCATGGTTCCGACGCGGTGTCCTGTCATCGACTGTGCATAGTACTTGTAGACCTGGTACTCGCCATTGGGGAAGTAGCCTGTAGCATCCGCAGCAGCATTTGGCGCGTTGGGCTTTGAGACAAGGTTGGCCAGATAATCGTATAGCCCGGGGTAACCCTGCCAGTTCCCGCGGAGGCCAGGTGCATCGACGCGTTCAAGCTGGGAAATCCACCATGCTCCACCACTAGAGACTTGCTCAGACGCAGTGGCATATTCATTGATGTTGATGTTGTTGTAAGGAAGGCCGTAATGATCCAAAAGCGAATGAAAATCTGCCGTCGACTCCAACATGTTCTGCGAGCCGCCGCTTTCCATGTGCCAGGTCCAAGTATCGGGTATGCAATTATTGGTCTTGATGTATTGCGCGAACGTAGTCCACCAGCCATTAGATAACTTGGGTTCAGCCGATGTCGAAGGCCCTTGAATTGTGACATCAGTGCCGAAGGCTTTCCGGAATGCATTGTAGGATCTACGCCACATTTCGAGAGCCTGCGACTGAGAACGTGTCCAGTACCAAGAGCCATCAACCTCGTTAAAGATTTCGATGATGAAGTCGTCCAGACTGACCCCGTAGCTCTTCATGTCGGCGATGACAGCTTGGGTGAAGGTGTCCCAATCTGTCCAGTTTCCATTGTCACCAGGGTATGGCCCGTTGTTCAAATCCCATTCTCCGTAGAGGGTTTCATATAGGCAAATAAACTTGGCGCCAAACTTCTTTGCCGCCTGGTAATTGCTCATCACCTCTTTCATACGGTTCTAGCTTTGTCAGTTGGTCCGGTTCAAGTGATGATCAAAGACATACCTCGTATTGAGTACGACCAGCGAGCCATCCACCGGCTGGAGAAGGCAGTGAAGGCCCCCCACCACGAGCAAAGTTGAAACCCCAGTCAGTGTACATATGATCTGGAATCTGCGATGCATTATCAGGAATGCCAAAGATAATGCCAGATGCGAGGTGGTTGGTGGAGCCTGTATTGTTTGATAAGGAGACAACCGCTGTACCTGACGACTGTCGAGGAACAAGGCCTGGGATTGCTGCCACTGACGTGACACCCAAGAAGGCGGGAAGAAGGGCCAAAAGAGAAGACTTCATTTTCAATCTCGAGATCTATCGTGGGGAACTGAGATGGAGAATTCTTGTATTTCGCGGCATAATCTCATTATTTATATTACTTCAGAGTCAATACGCTACCTTTCCATTTGGAGTATTGCACATCGCACATCGAGGTTGAGGGAGGCATTAACACGCAAGTGAATCCCATATGATGTCCAAACCTGGAACCATCATTCACCCTCGTGATGGTTGTGGCAAGTCATAAGACTAGAGTCTGCTCAGCAATTTAGCCGGAAGCCCACCGGGCAGAAGTTTGGTTAGAAATAATTGAGCTGCATGACATACTATACATATTATATTACCTGATGAAAAGTAATAATCGCTTCCAGCCCTGTTGGTAGATAGGGGAGTGTCGGGGGAAATCCCTAGTGATGTATTCACTAGTTCCAATCATATGCATCTCCTGCTAGCGCCACTGCCGGCATCCGAGACGGATGATTCTTCGCCAATCCTGAGATACCACACTAAGTCATAAAGTTTGATAGTTCCTGTAGATCCGCTCCAAAAGAGCGCCCAAGCACAACGGCACTTGTAAACGGGAAGTTAGATCGCGCTAGCGACCTAGGCTGGAAATGTACAATGTCAAGGCCCTGCTCGGAGCTCTCCGTTGAGACTGAAGCAATATCGATATTGGGTTCTATTCTCATCAAAGCTGTTGGCAAAGATAATCAGGCTAAAATCAACTTGCCGGCTTTATAGCTACCTAGCTGAAAGCCTCGCAAACAACGCCCACCGGGATGAAGTGGCAGTGACTGTCCGGTGGGCGTGAAACATACCCCGAGATCTGAACATTGAGATATCTGGAGATATCTGGGGTAAGGTTTGGCGGGGAAGAGGCAGATCGACGACAAAAGGTCTAGGCTTATTAGTGAAGGTACCAAGGCAATAAAAGGCACCTTTATTCCAGAAACATCAATCTCTCATCTCCAGACTTGACTCCATAGGCTCTTCAAACAATTCTTCATCTTTCTTCTGAATCGACTTTCTTGCAGTATGGAACCTGACAAGGAGGCTGCCGCCAACCATGTGGAGGCTTTGAACGAGCCGCCAGTGGTGACTCAGGAGAAGTCCACTACGTCCCAGCAAAGGCTGGCCTTCATCGCGGAGAAGGAAATGACCCTCCTCGCTGGTCTCAAGAAATACCCCTGGTCCGTCTTCTGGTCTGTCATAGTCTCCATGATAATCGTCATGGAGGGTTACGACATTGTCCTGCTGGGCGGACTCCTCCCCCAGCCTGCCTTCAGGAAACACTACGGGACCTACAGCGATGCCCATGGCTGGCAGATTTCCGGGCCCTGGCAGGCCGGCCTGAACAACGCTACCACCTGCGGTACCATCTTTGGCGCCCTGGCAAACGGATACCTTACTCAACGCTTTGGCTATCGTCGTACTGTGCTTGGGGCGCTCCTCTTCATCAACGCCACCATCGCGATGCAAGTCTTTGCGACCTCGCTAGGCATGCTCGCTGCTGCCAACTTCCTCTGCGGTTTGCCTTGGGGACTATTCTCGGTCATGGCTCCAGCTTACGCGTCTGAAGTCACACCAAACGTTCTTCGCGGTTATCTCGCCAACTTTGTGTGTTTCTGCTGGGCGGCCGGAATGTTGATCTCCTCGGGCGTCCAAACTGCGTTTTCCAAGCGCCAGGACCAGTGGGCATATCGCATTCCGTATGCAATCCAATGGGCATGGCCAGTACCGCTGATGTGCCTCCTTTGGTTTGCGCCAGAGTCACCCTGGATCCTGGTCCGCAGGAAGAACTACGCTGAGGCTGGGCGGATGATTGAGCGACTCTCGTCGAAGAATGAGATGGTCGATAAGGACGCCGTCGTTTCCATGATGAAACACACCATTGAGACAGAGCAGGAACTTGAGGCCGGCACTTCCTACTGGGATTGCTTCAAAGGTGCTAATCTGAGGCGGACCGAGATTTCCTGCGTTGCCTTCATGTGCCAGCAATTTGATGGCACAGCTATTACAGGCAACGCAGTTTACTTCTTCACGCAGGCTGGTGTCGGGACCGAGACTGCGTATAACCTCTCTGTGGTGTCCCTCGCCCTGTCTTGTGTTGGAGTGGTTGTGTCCTGGTATCTGATTTATCGGTTTGGCCGTCGAACTCTATATCTCTTCGAGCTATGGACCTCACTCATTGGCCTTCTCGCAGTAGCTACCGCTGCGACGATATCTGATTCGCAGAAGAGTAGCTATGCGCAAGCCGGTATCGTCATATGTTCCGTTCTCATTCGGTTCGCTACTACAGGCCCTGTATGTTATGCGATCCTCGCCGAAATATCCTCAGTCAGCCTCAGGAGCAAGACTATATCGATTGCGCGGGTCGCCTATTATATTTCACAAATTGTTTGCAACACCTTGCAAACATATCTCATCAACCCGACTGAACTGAATCTCAAGGGAAAGTCAGGCTGGGTTTGGAGCGGTAGCTGCATTCTCCTCATCGTGTGGGCGTATTTCCGTCTTCCAGAGACAAAGGTCAGTACTCTACAGGGGCTTTATAACAAGACTTAAACTGACTTTACTGTAGGATCGTCTCTTTGAAGAGATCGATTTGTTGTTCGCAAACAGAGTCCCTGCTCGGAAATTCAGAGTGACAGATGTCGACCTCTTCGATTCCACCGGCACCAAGGAAGATGAAAAGGCATGAGCTGCAGGTTTGGTAACGCAAAGACGGATTGTTCCTGGGTTTCGTTCTCCAAGAATCTGTGGCTATCAAACCTATATTTGTGCGATCAACGAAGGCTTTGCAATGATTCAAGTACCAGCTTTGTTAAGTCGAAAGCTTGTGGCAGCATGCGCAAGGTTCTCCATACCAGCAGGTTCAAGAATACTACTGTGATTTGACATTATCTCCTATCAATATATCACCTGCTTGTAAAATCCCATTGCTTGTTAAGAAGGATAAAGATTGTGGTCTGGCAAAGATAATTGATTAAGGCTTGTTATCAGCCAAAATACCTATGACGCCGCAAGCTAAAACGTAATAAAACACTCGGTCATAGGTTCAAACAAGGCACACATAAATCGAATTCAGTTACAGTACGCAGTGGTACGAATGATGGTGACTGAGTTGATTGACGGCAGTAGGCCACAAGTCCTGAAATGGTCCACTGTAAAGGTGACATAGTTATAGTGGGGTCCACTGTAATTATCTCCCCTACCTCACATACCAAGGCCAAGGCACAATCAATCAAGCAACCCTTTCCTCTCCCCTGGGACTCCTGGCGCCGCATCTTAACCTAAGAAAAATTAGCATAATATATATTAGGCTATTTTTTACCTCGAAAAACAACTAGCCATAGGGTTCCATTGGGTATCACAGCTACTATCTTGTTAAGTTTTAATTAACTTAAATGTAGTAATTATAAGCTTCAAGCCGGGCATATAAACTATAAATAACAGAATTGAGTTTTGTATTATACTAACGAAATAAGCGGCTGCGTTACGTGTATCCAGGATATCCAGGATATCCGGGATACCCGATTCTACCGTGACAAGACCCTTGCGCCGTGTGCTGATCTACTCTCTCTAGGTCCCTTTACCGGACATCTCCATCAATTCTTTCTTATATAAAATCAATTGCTTGAGCTAACACTGTCATCACATCATATTGTCTTCATCTTCATCGCAACGCTTCAGAAACGGTACTACATATTACGACAAACATGGCCGCCGAAAGACCTGTAAAAAAACCACAAGATGCTCTCCTTCGACATCATCTCATCGACGGCTGTCACCATGGCTCTATGCGTGGAAATGCACAACTCCAAAACGATCCTAGGCTTGAAAACGAAAATGAAAGTCCCGATAATGCCGCGGAGAATTGCGACTTGGACGAAATAGCTCCCATCGCTCCCATCCCGTTGCCAGACGGCTTAATCGATCATGATAGCCTAGAGCGCATCCGACAAACGGAGATCGAACTTAAGGGTGAAGAGACTCGCGTTCCGGATAAGACCTTGCCTACCACCGACAAAGCCCTTTCGTTGACTACAAAACTTCACACCCACTCCTATCTCATCCTTTTCTCCATCCTGGGAACGCTCGCCAGAGAGGGCATGACAGCACTGCTCGTCTATCCCGGGGCACCGGTCATCTTCCCAACTCTATGGGTGAATTTTGCAGGGTGTCTTGTCATGGGGTTCCTAGCCGAGGACCGTATGCTGTTTCGCCATGAATGGGGTCCTGACACCAGAGGAACGGTCTCAGCCACGGATTCAGAGAGTACAGACCTTGAGGCAGCAAAAAAGTCACATCTTAACGTCAAAAAGACCTTGCCCCTCTACATTGGTCTTTCGGTTGGGTTCTGTGGCTCGTTTACAACTTTCTCGACATTCATCCTCGATTCCTTTCTCGCCCTCTGCAACGGACTTGAAACTCCTCCTGCGCCAACATCTGACCGGAATAAAGGTTACTCGTTCTGTGCGCTTGCAGCCGTGGTCTTACTCACTATTCATGTCTCTTTGGGTGGTCTCTTTCTCGGTGCCCATCTTGCCATATTTGCTCAAGATATTATGCCCTCACTGCCCTATTTCTTTATGCGCAAGGTTTTAGACCCAATTGCAACCATTCTTGGCTGGGGCTGTTGGATTGGAGCGATACTTCTATGTATCTACCCGCCTTCTGATGACTGGCGCGGAAGTGTCCTGTTCTCCCTGGCCTTGGCCCCTCTAGGTGTATTCACGAGATTTTACCTTGCAGTCTTTCTGAATGGCAAACTCCCAACTTTTCCATTGGGGACATTTGCTGCCAACGTTGTTGGCACTCTGATCCTCGCTGTGGTCTGGGACTTATCTCAGATTCTTTCAAGGCCTTCCCTTGGATACCAGTTGCTTGAGGGCGTCAAGAATGGCTACTGTGCAGTCGTTACTACCGTGTCCACTCTTGCTCTCGAGCTCTCTTCTCTCCAACGAAAACACGCTTATAGATATGGTACTGTCAGTTTCCTAGTGTCATTTGGGTTGATGGTTGTCATTTCTGGTAGTTTCAAATGGACACGTTGATACCAGTGAATTATTGAACTGCAAAATATTACATTTCATCTATTATACAACACTCGATCTTTGCATACTTGTTTCTAAATTCCTTCAGGTTTTGAGCAAAAGAATAAAAATGAATGTAGAAACATCGCACCGTCATCTGTGCCAATGAAATTCTGGTTAATCTTTGTACCTCTGGATCTTCCTGCACATCTAGCACTCCCCTTTACTGTAGTTGTTCATTTAATAATTCCCATGTTGCAAGTCTCAGACCTAGTATTGGCTTCTATGACTGGCAAGTGTCCGGATATTCTTCGTCTCTGATGAGCGGCCTCTGTAAATTATGTAATTCTTGTCAAAATACAGGGAACTATTCCCTGTCTCACAAATAAACTTTTCAGCAACGCATCCCTTATGCAATGTGTCATACGCTCGTGCTCTTAGATATGTGTGGACAACATGTCTGCCAATTCGTCAGTGTCCATTATGTTCTCCTCCTCTTGGCACTTCAAACACTTTACCTCAATAAACTCCAACAGACTCTGAACGCCATTCGGGCAGAGTTCATAGTCTTGAAAGAAATAGCCTGCTTCACATCGATCAAGGGTCATATCGGTTCCTAGGTCTTTATCGCAGACTTGACACTTCATCTGGAAGTAATTCTCTCGACACATGGCTTGGGTTCTGGACCTGGCCGAGATATACTGAGCAATGGTATGTAGTAAGAAGATGCTGGGATGTTGATCTTGTTGCTGCTGTTGTATACTATAAGACGACAACAACGTTTCTCTGGTAATAGAGTACAAAATATGTATGAGGTGCTGGAAGCGTCGGTCCTTTGGCTTGTTTCTGGCAGCGGCTCGGACCTTTCAGCTTTTTGCATTTGCTGCTGCTGATGGATGAACTAGGTATATATATGCAGGTTTCTTTTTTCTTCTACTAGGAACCCGAACATTCCGCACGCAGAGAACGTAGACGCTTCTGTTCTGAGGATGAGCATTCTTGCCAGATTGGCATGGAATCCGGATGTCCTATAACGCTGGATATAGTTTAGGCTGTCTTTTGATTTGTATTGTAGCCATGTTTTGCTCAAGCTATTTTTCTGCTCCCTGTGGGTGCTTTTATATACAAATTCTAATCGCGTATCCCAGGCTCTTCACGAGTTTCTTCAATGTTTGTATCACCCACTGCAGCACCAGTTCTTTTCGGTTGTGTTGTTCAGCCTTTTGGTGGTCTGATTCAATCATTAGACAGCCTCCAGCTGTTCTAACTCTTTGTGTAGAGCGAGCATTGGTCACACCTGGCACGCAGAAGTCATTACGGGCTTCTTTCCCCTTAAGGAATTCCCAAGTCATCCTGTGCAGACGCGAGAGCATCATGGTGTTGCACCGCATGTCGTCCCCTTCTGATCATTGGTACCTCCTCTTGTACCCTCTCAGCACAACAGCAACAGTCCAAAACCGACATGTGACACGACTATTCTAATCACTGTAGCGGGCGGTAAACAGACAATCACACAGCTTGATTCGTGTGACGCTGGCCGCAATACCAACGACCCTTTCAAAGCCCCTGTTTTCACAATTGGGGGCCAGAATTTACAGATTCTCCAAAGTTGCATCTACACGTGCATCCCTGTAATTGGCGAGGCCTCTTTTTGGTACTTCAGTGCGACCAAGACGCTGATAAAAACATGATTTGCCCATTTCGCGCAGCTGAATCATACCCCTGCTGCATGGGTGCCTAGTGAGGCTTTCCAGGGTCTTGGTATTTTTAACCGCAAGCTGTGATTCAAAAAGCCTCATCAGCCACCAAAGGCAAAAATGTGCAATTTTCCTTCATCTTTTGTCACTATCACTGAGTTTCTGCGTCACGAGTGCACACGACCAATCACAGCAAACATTCATCATGTGCACTGAACAGTTTACGCACTTTTACTGCATGTACTGCAGTGTATGCATCAGGAAGGGATATGAATGGGAGATTTGCCAGATTGCTCAACAGACAGAGTCAAAGGCTATGGGGTCGTGTGGATACACGGATGATGGGGTTGTTGCGAGCGTGTCGGAGTATTGTCAGCAGTGTCCGCCTGATGATAGGAAGTGGAACAAGGCTACGCTTGACGGTGAAACAAAGACACAATTGGCCTGAGGGATGACCGGGTGTATGTGACGATAATGCTTGATTGCTCTGAGGAGCAACGGGCTTGGCAAACGGCACGTCACGACCACAACTCTTTACAATCGCCGATGGATATCATCTTCTACTGGTCTTTACAGAGTATCTCTCTGTTTGGGCTGCAACACTGAGAGTCCATATTCATATTCTCCCTGTCATTCACTGTCATCACCCTCAAGCTATGGCTATAAATCCCCCTGTAGTACGTCCTTCTCGACCCTCAGACCACGAATTTCAACGCTGGCTAGTCTGTGTATCTCTATCCCAAACTCATAACGCAATAAACTCATTCCTCTCACAATGTGCTACCACGTAACAGTCAACTACATGTGCTCAGTGTGCAGCAACAGAATCGACTCTGACAGACACAGCCTGAGATGTCAACGAGCTCGCCGTTCTTTAACAGGAGTCTTGGGGTCGTGTGGAAGCACGTATTCAGAAATGATATGGAATTATCAGGAGACATGTAGAACCTGCGCAAATCCTGAGGAGCCGGCGCTTCCTGATCCTGAGCACTTTGTTCTCCCGCGGTTGCGTCCACCTTATCCAGGCACGGGTTAGAGATATGGGCCGCAGCATCGTAAAGATCCCGGTGGAATCGATAAGATGTGGCTTGTGTAAGGCGTTTATTTTCAGTGATGGCCATGCGGCATTTAGTTTTGTGGCAGTGAATAGTACAGGTAAGGTTCTGCGCTGAGAACTTATAACATATTGTAATTGTACTTACTATCCTGCTACAAAGCCCATCTTGCGACACTATCGGGGTATTTTGACGAATCACATTTCGCATCATCTGGACTGAAATATGCAGTGAATCACTGGGCATTGTCTTTTTATAATCTTAGAATTTCTGATTAAGTGCCTTAAGAAAAGTATTCTCCTAGCTTTCTCATCCCGATCAATTCCCGTCCGTTTGGAGTTATCTATATATGCCACTGTCTCCTACCAAGACATAATTTCTCTTGATCTATTCGAACACCCAACCTTCCCTTGAAGAAAATACAACGAAATCCGAGTCAGTCAACGTCTCGAAATGTGCCACGATCTAACAATTCATTACATGTGCCCAGTCTGCGGGAACCGGTGGAACTTTGAGAAGCACGGTCTCATGTGCAGGAAGGCCAACGAAACGAGGAGCAGACTGTTCGCATCGTGCGGGAATGAGTATCCAGTGACACTGTGGAATCAGGAGGAGATCTGTGAAGAGTGTTTGGCTCGTGATCAGCTTCATCGTCCGATTGAAGTTGTTATCACAAGGCGGTAGCAGGCCAACAACTTAGGATTGTTACAGTTAGGAATATTCTTTTAGCGCATTGTAACTTCGAATTGAATATCATCTAGATCATTCAAGTCAGGTATGTAACTCCTTGACGGTCTTGCTTTGGGTGCCAGCGAATGGAATGGCCCGCCTAGCATTGCTTGTTTAACAAGGCGGCAGTGCCAAACACTGCATTGCATTTCTTTCACTCTCACAAAATAAACCTCTATAGAGGTATCCAGAGTCTTTTTAAACTAATCCTCAACTTCAAGATCTCTCTGGCATCACTCTCAACCTTTTTCTTCCCTCATCCCACAAAATAAACACCCTCACAACCACGACATCACAAACGCCACTATGTGTGTGGCCATAACCCGCGTCTTCTACTGCATGCGCTGCAACAACGAGATCTACGAAGAAATGGAGTGTCAAGAGTGCCCGCTCTTCAGCCAGTACAAGCGATGCGGAAAGACCGACGTGAACTTGAGCTTCAAGTGCGAAGCTGACCTGTGCATCTTGTGCGCCTCGTTTCCGCCGGAGAGTCAGGTTCCCTTTTTGTCGCAGCCTCCGCAGGGTAGCACGTCTACCATTATGCGTCATTTGAGACTTATGTACGGTCGGCGTTGATTGATGTGAGTGTTTCGCTCAAGTCGTGTGCAGCTATTTATCAACTTTACAGACTTTTACAAATACGCCCGCCATCATGAAGATGATACAGAATCGAACAGCGAATCAGGGATGGACATCACCGACTCTGCTACTGAGAGAAAGATTGGTGATCAACTGCGAGGATATCTTGGCTGTTAGGACGAAGTTTGGATCCCTGACGAATGTGCTACATTTTGGTGGCCAATACCTCAGTCACATTGGACCTTGGACTAGAGTTTGCCGGCCTCTATCACTGAAACAATAAACCTAAGTACCTTTCATCGCACCATCGCACCTGATAGCTTATGATGATTCAGAGCATATATGCTATTGTTCTCTTCAAACCCATATGTTCACAACGTTTGCACAATCTGAATGAGTCGTGTTCAGCACAACAAAGCCATTATACAATTACTATCTCCATGTTCAAGGGTGTTCATGTCCGCTTTTACAAACATAAGACCAGTCACGGTCGGTTCATCATGATCTCGACTATAAATTCTGCCAGCTTTTTCTCCTTTCCCAAATCAATCCATCCTTCAACCTCCAACTTCCTTTCCACTTCACAACCCAAACTTTACCACACACAACCCGTATACAGATTTCCACCGTTATACTATTCACTATGTGCCAAATGACCAACACTACTGAGGTCTGTGTCAGCTGCGGCAAGACCGTTGGCACGAACCTCAACCGAGACAAGTGTCCGCATTACGGCACCACCAGATGCAAGCAGGAAAACCTATATGTCACGAAGAAAGTCTCTGCGAGCAACTGCTCCAAATGCTCAAAGGATGGGAAGAAGAGTGGAAAGAAATGAAAGGGGGTTCTTGTCTGCCTCTGGAGGTGGCAGTTAGGTCAAGTGTTTTGATAGCACATTAGACAAGATAGGAGCAGGTCACCTTGTTATGGGATTAGATAGTCACTTGCTCGGGAGGGTATTGTAAAGCTGGCTCTTTGGTTAATAAGACACTATCAAATTCCGAACTTTTCAATTTTTGCCATGACCTTCAAATATTCTCACAGTCAATAAAGAAGCCTGTGGCTGACTTTATTTATATTTAGACCACTGATCATTTATCGAGGCATCATATTTGGTGATTGAAAGCTACCCGTGGCAACGTGATGAGGGTTTCATTTCGGCTATACTCACCTGGAGAACCAGATAATCGTCAACAGTTCATGCTACTACCTATCCTTACTTGACTTTATATGACAGTGTTTAGCGGCTAGTATATGACTATATAACCTCGCTCCCCATCCGTTTCATCTAGACCAAACAAACGTGCGTAAAATCTCGGCAGCGACACTAGACTCAAACAATCCGAATTAACAACTATTTTGCAAACGATAACCTCATTTTATCCTCCGCAATGTGCATTGTCCATCACTTCAAGATAATATGCCAGAAATGTGGCAACAATATTAGAACTGACATGGATCGTCAGAAATGCAACAAGGCAAACAAGGGGGAACGATGTCTCAAACGGTACAAAAATGGGGGTGAGCAAAAGGAAAGTGAGCTGGGATGCCAGGTTTGTGAGGCTGCAAAGTTGAAGAAGCGATAGCGCGGCTTAGACTGGAGTGTAGCTAGATATTTTCGTCTATAAGTTTGTTGCTCTTCTCAGGTCCAAGCATAGTGCCAGCGTTTGATATCCTTTGGTCACTGATGATTGTTCAGTTCTTCGCTCAGGAGATGCCAGTTCTATTAGTCTTCGTGCTGAGAATAATCATACAAACGTCGCTTCAGTCGTTCTGACTCAACATTTAATGTGATTAAGTGCTGTTTGAATGAGCGAGATTCAAACGGTCCCAGCAGAGCCACAAGTATAAATACCACTACACCTCCTCCATCCCGTCTCCAAGATCTCCAGTCCACCTCACCATCTATCCCTTCACTCTACACTCAAAAACACTCGATCACTACTAAAAACAAACTCTGCTCTTAACCATGTGCTTCATTCACACCACCCGGCTCGTCTGCATCAAATGCGGCCATCAAACCCCCGTCCCCAGAACAGCCCCCTGCAAGGAGGCGAACAATGTTGAAAAGCCATGCCAGAAGAAGCGTATGCAGACAACTACCTTGATCGACTCCTCCAAGTGCCCTCAGTGCAAGGCCAAGGCGGCTAAGGCTAAGGAATGCAAGACTGAGGCGGAGGGCGAATGAACGCTACATGCTGAAAGCGGTCTAAGGATTTGGAAATCATGACTAAATTGACGTTGGGCTTTGGGTTCAACATAGGTGGATTGGGTAGTGAAGCAATCTCCTGCTAGTCCAAATACTATTTGTTGACTTTTATTGATAGCCATGTCCGTGAAACATTGCACAAGTCTGACATGTTGACTCAGCCATTCCCTCACCGTGACACATCTGGACACCGACGATGTAATGAAAAGACCACCGTGACACTCCAACCCTTCAACGTCGTTGTGCATATATAACTCCGTAACTCAAGCCCCCTACTTTCCTATCATATCTCGTATCTCCCCACTCACAATTAATCTACCATTCAACATGTGCAACCTAGTCTTTACCAAATACCGCTGCCGAGTCTGCGACCACATCATCGACCATGAAACCGTGACGGAAAAGTGTAACTCTGCCAAGAAATCGGGCAGGGCCTGTGTAAAGCAGAAGATAGTGGCGTCGACTATTCATACAGATCAGAAGAATTGTAAGGACTGCGTTAAGAAGAAAGAGGGTCAGAGGGGGGTTAAACGTAAGCTTTGGAGGTTTGGTTTTGGGATCTAGATAGAACATACTTCGTAAAGAACCTTGAGCAGGTAGTTCATTACTCATCAAGCTCTTGCCCTTAACGTCTCGGTGATGCTGTATGTCTTGGGCCGAGGGTTTGTGTAAGGATGTGCCCGCAGTCTGTGATACAGAGCACGGCATTCGGTAACTTGACGGTTCTTCGGTGAAGCACTTCAAGATAAGGATACCATCCAAACATTTAAACAGCTTCTTCTGTCCCATGTACTTCTTAATAACAGATATCAACTCTCTCTTTTTACCCCTATCATCAACTGACCGATACAAATGTGCACTATCCACAGTACAGGCTATCTCTGCAGGAAGTGCTCCTACCTCGTCTCCATGCCCCTAGAAGAAATAAAATGCGCTCATTTTCTGGCGAAGAGACCGGGCATTTGCGTTACAACGACAAGGCATGATACCATCTATGTTCATGAGGAGGAGTGTTTGCAGTGCAAGGAAGCGAAGGCGAAGGCCAAGGGCAAAGGAAGGGCTGACGGTTGATACGTTTGATTGGGGGACGACGTCACGGCTGCTGTGATCTTAATGAACCAATGTCCAAACGATAACGTCATGTTCTGGGGTCAAGGTCTGTCTTGTTCGTATGAGTGAAAGGCTCTGTATCCGAGCTGCCCGGGTGCCCAACTACCTTGTTCGGTCAAAACATTCACTCCTTCAAGACCTTTCCGCGACCAACTCGGATTCCCTATGTGCTCACGAACAAACAAATAAAACATCGCTTTTTCCCCGTATTAATACAATAGATTTCCCTACTTGAATCACCAACGTATCCCATCAGCACATCATTCACAAACATACTCAACTGACACAAAGAATCAACTCACCACGATCACAAACAACAAAAGCCAAACATCCCCATCAAACCAAACTCGCCAAAATGTGCCAACTATTCAGCACCGCTACCATTTGCGAATCCTGCCTCCGTCTCATCAGCTACACCTCCAACAAGTCGTTCTGCTCTCTTGTCATGAATACCGTGACAAGTAGTCTAAGCATGACTCCCATTGATGAAATTAAGGACAGAGCGTGTCTTGAAGACCCGGAGGATATCACTCGTCATGTTTCCAGTCAGTTTTGCAAACGCTGTGAACCAGATGGCAAGCAAGGTAATGTTGAGGTCTAACGTTGGAAGTGGAGATTGCCCAGCCCCGGAGCTTTTTCTTGAGGCGGAGTTCCCGTCGCCGAGCCGGAAGCTTGTGGGGGAACTGAGGTGAGGCTAGATTTCATTGGGAATGGCGACCTTTGGGATGGTTACCCTGAAGGAAGAGCTTTAGTTGAGCCTTTGTCTGTTCATAGGTGTTCTGGGTTATGTTCCTAGATAAATAAAGCAGAATACCTCTGTTCGTCTATCCTCTGCGACACTGTGTTAACGAAGTGTGAATCTGAATGCTGAGAAGTAAACGTTGTATCTTGTCAGCTGCCGGGATCCCTATAATCCCTGGTCAGCACTCTAAACTCACTACGTAAGTCGTGTAAGTCTGCGATACCGGCTTTGTTTTCAACATCTCCATCGTCAATAATCAATCTCAACACTGCGGGACTGCCTCACTCACCGAAAGTCCGGCAGAATGGTTCCAACAATTTTATCGAGCAGGGATCGCCATGGCCAATTCCGAGGCTACTCTCAAAGCATCGTCACATCCGACCAACGATGAACGCTACCAACTTCCTTACTCAGAAATGTGGAGGTGCAATGATCCATCGAGTCAGAAATAACCCAATTTCTCCAATGTAACCCCAGAACCATGAACACGACCACGAGACTGGTAAAAGTCGATTGACTTTTCGGATGTAAACATAATCCCGAGCCACCCAGTGACATTTCGTGGCTGTCCATGATGGGAATAAAGTCATGCACCTTTGCAATACTATGGCCGAGTATACACCGATTGAAAAACGGCATCAAAGCACAACGGCACTTGTAAACGGGAGTTTAGACATCGTCCGAGGTGCGGAACTAATACGAAGATATTAGTGAGAGCAATTGAAGTGTCGTGTGGCTGATAACGTTAGAACCCAGATAAAATACATTTCGTCCCGTCATGATGGCCTGAACGGTAACGACTCCGGGCCGAAGCCACTGTAACATCAGCGTCACCAGGCCACTGCACTGGGTCGATAAACGGGTTCACCTCAAAGGGAATTATCGTGGAGAAGGCGGGAGAAAAAGACTCATAACCTTGAATTTGACAGTTACAGGGAAGAAACCAAGGTCCATGTGCGATCATCACCTGTTTCTAGGTATACCGTTCGTATAACTTTCTGATTCCGATCTCCATTCAACGTTAATTTCTCCGCATGAACGAAGCGTGCGAGTCCACAACAGGGCCGATTTGAATTGCGGAGAAGAAGCTGTCTCCCCCAGACTCTCAACCATCCCCGGCAATTGAGATGAATACGCTAACTCAATCGACAAGCTCAGTATAAATCGTGCTGGGAGAACCTCGGATCCTCGGTCAGATAGCGGCCGTATTATTCATTCTGTGGAGTGGGAAACCTGGGGCATGACACCATCACCAACAGTCGGGGATATCTTCCATTGGACGCAGCGGCTAAGCTGCGGTAGATCTGAGGATGTGAGAGTTGGCCGATGGAGATTAAACTGGGAATGGCATCACACGACGGTCCTCGCATCGTTGAAAGTGAAGGGCGATGTTACTCCGCATCGTCCATGTGAACTAGTGAGTCGTGTTTTTTCCTCTTTTGTGCGGGGGAGCAAAACTAATTGAAGCCGACGCTAACACTTACAGAATTTTGCAATGACGCAGACACGCAAGTTTTGGTGAAGGAGGAGCAAGAGGTTGGACTGGTGATCGCCGAGAGGAAGGGAAAGCGTAGCCGGTGCTGGGGGTATATAAGTTGTAGCTGATAGCCTCACAAAAATGAAGAGAGATCATCATCACTGAGCGCCATTCATCTCTACTCTCTCACAATGGCTAGCATTCGATCTGTGTTGGTCTCGGGTCTCTTGGCCGCGGGTGTTAATGCCCAAGCCTACGATTCGAGTGATCGCGCTGAAGATGCTTTTAGCTGGGTTCAGCCTAAGAACACCACTATTCTTGGACAGTATGGCCATTCGCCTCATTATCCTGCCAGTATGTTCACCAACTCCATCAATTGAGGGGAAGTTATACTGACGATCAACTATAGACAATGCTACTGGCAAGGGCTGGGAAGATGCCTTCGCCAAGGCTCAAGACTTTGTCTCCCAACTGACCCTCGAGGAAAAGGCCGACATGGTGACGGGAACTCCAGGTCCTTGCGTCGGCAACATCGTCGCCATTCCCCGTCTCAACTTCAACGGTCTCTGTCTCCACGACGGTCCCCTCGCCATCCGTGTAGCAGACTACGCCAGTGTCTTCCCCGCTGGTGTGTCAGCTGCTTCATCGTGGGACAAGGACCTCCTCTACCAGCGCGGTCTCGCGATGGGTCAAGAGTTCAAGGCCAAGGGTGCTCACATCCTCCTCGGTCCTGTCGCCGGTCCTCTTGGACGCTCGGCGTACTCTGGTCGTAACTGGGAGGGTTTCTCGCCGGATCCTTACCTCACTGGTATTGCGATGGAGGAGACTATCATGGGACATCAAGATGCTGGTGTTCAGGCTACGGCGAAGCACTTTATTGGTAACGAGCAGGAGGTCATGCGTAACCCTACCTTTGTCAAGGATGGGTATGTTGGTGAGGTTGACAAGGAGGCTCTTTCGTCTAACATGGATGATCGAACCATGCACGAGCTCTACCTCTGGCCTTTCGCCAATGCTGTTCATGCCAAGGCTTCCAGCATGATGTGCTCGTACCAGCGTCTCAACGGCTCCTACGGCTGCCAGAACTCAAAGGTCCTGAACGGCATCCTTCGAGATGAGCTTGGTTTCCAGGGCTACGTCATGTCCGATTGGGGTGCTACCCACGCCGGTGTTGCTGCCATCAACAGCGGTCTCGACATGGACATGCCCGGCGGTATTGGTGCTTACGGCATGTACTTCACCAAGTCCTTCTTCGGCGGCAACCTCACCCGCGCCGTCACCAACGGCACCCTCGACGAGACCCGCGTCAACGACATGATCACCCGCATCATGACTCCCTACTTCTGGCTCGGCCAGGACAAGGACTACCCCTCCGTCGACCCCTCCAGCGGCGATCTCAACACCTTCAGCCCCAAGAGCACCTGGTTCCGCGAGTTCAATCTCACCGGCGAGCGAAGCCGTGACGTCCGTGGTAACCACGGCGACTTGATCCGCAAGCACGGCGCCGAGTCCACCGTCCTGCTCAAGAACGAGAAGAACGCCCTTCCCCTCAAGAAGCCCAAGTCCATCGCCGTCTTTGGAAACGATGCTGGTGATATTACTGAGGGTTTCTACAACCAGAATGACTACGAATTCGGCACTCTTGTTGCTGGTGGTGGTTCTGGAACTGGTCGTTTGACATACCTTGTTTCGCCTCTTACCGCCATCAATGCCCGTGCTAAGCAAGACGGTACTCTGGTTCAGCAGTGGATGAACAATACTCTTATTGCTACCACTAATGTCACTGATCTCTGGATCCCTGCCACTCCTGATGTCTGCCTCGTTTTCTTGAAGACTTGGGCTGAGGAGGCTGCTGATCGTGAGCACCTCTCCGTTGACTGGGACGGCAACGATGTTGTCGAGTCTGTTGCCAAGTACTGCAACAACACTGTCGTTGTCACTCACTCTTCTGGTATCAACACTCTCCCTTGGGCTGACCACCCCAACGTCACCGCTATTCTCGCTGCCCACTTCCCCGGTCAGGAGTCTGGTAACTCCCTCGTTGATCTCCTCTACGGCGATGTCAACCCCTCTGGTCGTCTTCCCTACACCATCGCCTTCAACGGAACTGACTACAATGCTCCTCCTACCACTGCCGTCAACACCACCGGCAAGGAGGACTGGCAGTCTTGGTTCGACGAGAAGCTCGAGATTGACTACCGCTACTTCGACGCGCACAACATCTCCGTCCGCTACGAGTTCGGCTTCGGTCTCTCCTACTCCACCTTCGAGATCTCCGACATCTCCGCTGAGCCTCTCGCCTCCGACATCACCTCCCAGCCCGAGGACCTGCCCGTGCAGCCCGGCGGCAACCCCGCCCTCTGGGAGACCATCTACAACGTGACCGTCTCCGTCTCCAACACTGGCAAGGTCGCCGGCGCCACTGTTCCCCAGCTCTACGTGACATTCCCCGACAGCGCTCCTGCCGGTACACCACCTAAGCAGCTCCGTGGCTTTGACAAGGTCTTCCTTGAGACTGGGGAGAGCAAGAGTGTCAGCTTTGAGCTGATGCGTCGCGATCTCAGCTACTGGGATATCATTTCTCAGAAGTGGCTTATCCCTGAGGGAGAGTTCACTATCCGTGTTGGATTCAGCAGTCGGGACTTGAAGGAGGAGACAAAGGTTACTCTTGTTGAGGCGTAACAGGTTTATGATGTATGAGATATGCCCTAATTACCTAGATAGTAAATCCACGTTAATATTAGTTCAAAGCTACTTGTTTCTTGCGATACTGTTGATGTGATAGTGGCTCACTGAGCTGAGGCGAAACGGGCTAGGGGAGGAAAGAAAACTTAGGACCTTGATCCTAAATAATAAGACTTGGGTAAATTTGCATAAATTTATGGATATCTTAATTCAGCTTAGGATATCTTTTCTTATATTTATTTTAATAACTTATATTAACGTCTGGTATTTTCTTACTCCTTGCGGACAGCAGAACCCAGAATAGGCACCTGCCTTCCATGGCGTGTGGCTCTAGGATACTCGGTTCAGGAAGTTACCACTACCTACCTAGGTTTGCCAAACCAGAAAGCAGCCTGTATTGAAAGCTTCCATCTTCTACATGCAACAAGATATCTCTCAAGTCACTGCGCTCAGATCAAAGACAAGATACTTACCTCACCATCATCATCATGCCTCAAAGTATCGATCTCAACGACCAGGCGGCCAAGGACGCAGAGAGTGATCGATGCCTCGCGCTCGTCTTCCACCACTGGCAAACAAGCTTCGACGTCCCCCCTCCAAGATATCCTGTCTACCAATTCTCCGAGTCCGCTCTCCAGGTCGGCCACTTCAAAGAGGATCTTCCTGGCGATCCCCCATCTACCAACCCCAACCCCAGCCGCGAGAAGGGCGCGAAAGCCTACCTCATTGTGAAATGCCGCAGAACCCAGACTTACTTGGGTTGTATTCCTAGAGAAATCGATCTGAACCAGAAGGGCTTTCTTTGGTGTGATGCAGAAGGCAAGCCCGTCGACAAGAATTACATCCAGATAACTGAAGGCCTTGATATTGGGCTTTTAAAGGAGGATCTCGCGAATATGTACAACATTCAGGAGACGAGGCTTGTGGCGAAATGGAACGAGGACGTCAAGATTGCGACGCTCCGGCGTGCTATTCGAAGGGTTGAGGCTGCTGGACCGTCAGAAGAAGCTGTTGTACGTGACGAGGACTGTCATTAGGAGGAGAGGGATTTAGTGTTGTGCAAGGCGACTGATCCGGAGTGGAACTGAGGTCTGGTGTGGTAATTAGGGGTACAAGAATATGATGACGGTGTATCAGGACGATGTGGCACTTCAGCGGTTACTTTGCAGCGATTGAGATATGACTAAGAATTACTTTCATCCCATCAGTTGTTCGTTTGGCGCACGAATTGCTTTGAGCCTCAACTGACAAGACTGCTCTTTGTCCATTATGTGATGAGTGATGAGTGAACATTACGACGTAAGACAGTAACTTATGTCTGATGCCCTTTGTTCGATCACCTACTGAACAAAAGAACAATGTATATTCACTGAACTCAATGTCAATACCCGATAAGTGAGCACGAGATGACTTAGACACCTCATGCCATTAACTTCATAACATCGGTCCTTGAAAACTATATAAAGTCAGCCTCTTCCCCATGCTATAGTCCAAATATCTCATCATTTCATTCCAACAATTACTAACATCTCAAACCAACATCAATATCCCCATCCCAACCTCAGACCCAAACAGCAACTAATACTAGATTAAACATGTGTATCAACTGGATCACAACAACAACGTGCCGAAAATGCGGTCACTGTGTCGATGTCGAGTACGGCGACAAGCTCTGCAAGGACTACAAGAAGGGTAAGGAATGCCGCCGAACAGTAGAGCACAAGCAGAAGGGGGCTGATCCTTCGAAATGCTCTGAGTGCAAGTCGAGACGAATGTCACTATAAATCCTACGCAAGGTATTTATCACCAGCTTGGAAGAGTTAACCACTGAGTATGTGGTAAGAGAAAAAGAGAAAAGCCACGAGTGGGAGGGCGAAGCAACGTGGTTTTGGGCCATTTTCGGGAAGAACAAATGAAGCTATCACCAACTATTAAGTGACTGGCTAGCTCAGCTCATTGTTAAGCTTAGAACAGCAATTTTACCATAAAAATGTCTTCCTAGACACAATTGATACAGAAAAAAACAATTCAACTCATTATAAGTTCGAAAAATGCCAATTCTAATATCTTTCAGTGAAGTTTTCTCATCATATAAAAACGATGTAGGGTACTCCAATTGTGGTATGGATCAAGTCGCGTACGTGCGTGTTGTGGCTCGATCTGTGGCGTAGGGCTGATCAGATAACCACTGGCGAGCTCGCTAAATGCCACATGGACGCGATTGACGACATATTTCAAGATATTATAGGTGCAATAAGTATCACTGCATCAATGATCAGAGTGGGCGTTCCATGATCCACGCAACACACGCATGTGTTGGCCAAGTGTTTACGGAGTGTGCTGGCGACATCAATTGAAGCCTTAGAACCATGAACGGACCATTGAAGGTGATTACGGGCTTAAAGTCAAAAACCGACTCGAAACATGACAGCATTGATCCAATATCAAAGCGCGATGCATCAAACTTATACACGGTCCCAAGCCCATCATGAAACCAAGACCAAGACGTGCTGCTCACTAAACCCCAGAAAGATTCTTCAAAGGTGGATATTCTGCATAACTACCGAACACAAAAAGCAAGGCAGATAATCCCAGCCAGACTCTTTTATGCTTTTTATTAAAAGGGATTGGCCTACAGGTCTCCAAACGCGAGACCAGTCTGGATGGATTCAATGGTGGAGACGTGTTGAAGAAATTGGAGGTTGAACACCTCAAGACAGGAGGTTGGCTTTTGCAATAGTCCCGTTAAATCCTCAACGGCAATTCTTACAATTCTATTCACAATGTAAATTTAAAGCAGGGAGATACTAAGTTAAAGACAGTATAAGGGGAACAAAAAAATATAAAGGGAGTTTGTTACACATGAGACATCAAACATGTCAAGCAAGGATCTCAAACGCAGCCACTATAACTCAGCGCGTCCAGCGAACGTCATCCTTATCGATACCACCAACACGGGAGCCCACATCACCACTCAACGCGCCCCATCCTGACCCGCGTCAAGCACCTAATTCCCATCAAGCTCGCTAAATTACAGCGCTCTCAACCACTGTAAAAACGCCAACGCCAAAAAACCACGACGGCTCGCGAAGAGCCCGCGTCCCTTTTTCCCGCGTAAAGCGGAGCATGGCATGCCTCTTTAAATACCTCCCGCTACCCAACACGAGAGCCTTTCTCACAATCTCACCACCACCTGCACTGCACCACTTCCTACAATACAAAAAAAAAGGTTTCACGCTTGGTCGAGTTGTTTGGGACCCGTGATTTTCATCTGATTCATTCTTTTTATTTTACACCTATGATTTAAGTATACCTTCAAAAAGAGAGAGATACTAGACCGCCTTTCGTGTCGTCATCGTTGTCTGATACCACGACGCCTGTTGGCGAGAGATTAAGACGGATAAGGGAGAAAATTGGCGGAAAAGAAAGATTCGATCTTGATTTCGAATTCTGAGCGAGTTTGACGTTTGCACTTTACGCGTGTTACCTGGTCTCGTCTCTTTCGTCTCTGGACGCGATCCAGTTCGATCTCGATCCTCGATCTACAACACCACGACCCGAATACACCTCTTGAACTCTTCACAAAAAACAAAAAGAACGCAAAAATGGATTCTCTGGGCTCATCACCTCGAAAAGGCTCCTCTGCCGAACCAACTCTTCCAACAATGAAACCCTACTCCCTCGCGGGCTCCAAGCGCTCAGCACCGAGTCTCCTCCCGCCCTTTGAGCCACTCTCGTCATCTCCAAACCTCCCTCGACCCGTGAAGCGACAAAATCTCGGTTCTGGCCGCTCCTCGTCGCGAGCTCACCTCAAATACCCTACTCCTGTTCCCACGTCGAGTACAGGTATCCTCTCGAGTTCCCCGCCTCAACGGTCCGCTACCGCTTCCGAGCGTGCCCCGCTCGCTACCGTCCCCGCTGTCGAACTCTCGGAAAACGGCGAGACCCTCATCATGGGCCGATCGTCCAATTCGTCACACTACCAGATCTCCGCTGACCGCCTCGTCTCCCGCGTCCACGTAAAGGCTCGCTTCGTCGCTGCTGCGAGTCCGCTTGAGCCCAGTAAGATCGAAATCGTCTGCAATGGCTGGAATGGTCTCAAGTTGCATAGCCAGGGTCGTACTTGGGAGCTGTACAAGGGCGATAGCTTCACCAGTGAAACAGAGGGCTCCGAGATCATAATTGATGTGCAAAACTCGCGTGTTCTCGTCCAATGGCCCAAGCGGGCTCTTGACCATCTCTCCGACACCACTTGGGATTCTCCTCCCTGCCAGGCTCGTGCCCAGGCGATTCTTCAGTCTTCCCCTCCTCGCCGCGCTTCTCGTATTGCTTCTCCCGAGAGCCCCACGCCTGCTAGTCTCTCTAGCTCCCGCCGCCTCCAGGCTCTGCTCCCCGGACAGCGTGACATAGAAATCTACGAGGACGATGCTGAGCTTGAGCTCCCTGAGCACAAGCATGATCCTACTAACATTAATGTCAGCATGTGCACCGATGTGACTGCCAGCTTCAGCAGTGAGGTCAGTGATGGTGAAGACCACAACCCCGATGAGGAGAATGATCCTATCGTGCACTCTTTCGGGCCTTTCGGCGCCGACATTTCCTGCCGGTTGGCTTCGATAACGACAAAGTCTCCCAAGGTGTTCAAGGGTGTCAAGCGTGCCAACCCTCTCCACAGCGCCATTGCTTCCGATCTGTTCGCTCCTCGTCAGATTCCTGCTCCTCCTCAGTCTCCTCGCAAGCAGCAGGCTAGGACAGAGTCTCCACTCTCGTCTCCTCCTCGAATGTCTTCTCCGACTCCGGAGATCTTCAGGATGTCCTTCGAGTCCCACCCTGCCGTTGGCAACCATGTCATCAACCAGCTCGCCTTCTCCCGTCTGTCTTCGACTCCTCTGTCCACCATCATGGCCCACCTCCCCTCGGAGGAGAAGCAAGACCTTTCCAAGGACGATCTCCGTGATGTTATCGAGAGTACACCCTGCATTGGTATCATCAAGCGTCAGGGCAAGGACGCAGCCGGCAAGCCTCTTGAGAGCGAGTACTACTATGTCCCTGAGGAAGATGACGACCAGCAGCGTCGCGCCGCAGTCGTCGATGGCCTTCGCAAGCCCAGTCTCCGCGCTTGTCGCAAGCAACACAAGGTTTGTGACATTCTCAACTTGACAATATGCACTTCAACTTACACTGTACAATAGCAATACTACTGGAAGCGTCCCAAGACTCCTTGATCCACCCGTCTTTTCACGTACATACGATTCTTCCCTCCGAAAGATGACTACATGATTCTCAAAGTTTCCTGTTTAACGGTGGATGTCTGTGTTTTTGCTGTATACCCCTTTTTGTCATTTCCATGTTTTATTTTCACATTTTCTTCTTGTCCATGACGGCTCTCATGTTTCGCAAACTGCATAGCATCGGCGTCTTAATTGTATTTTATTTCTCTTTCTGCATGATGGAGTTGGGAGGGTTCAACAAAAAAGGGACTGAGATATATGCCTTGTTGAGCATATAGAAGGGAAAGGAAAGGAAAGGGCTTGGGGCAGCGTATTCTTGTACCTGTTTTTAATGTGTGTATGGTATGTTGTATGAGAGCAAAGCAATGGAATATCGCCGATTAACCTGTTGAATCACGACGATTGGTTGCTTATGTGAGAATGTCATCCAGTTGGTGGATGATCTGATGAGCATCACGAGGTCAATTGAGAGCCTGGACTCTTGCGTGCATGATTCCACCAACGAACGAGGCCTGTAGCCCTTTAACCCGGGGCACATCACATTGGGGTACCCCAGAGAATGCCACATGCATTCGATGTAACTCCAAACCTCACTGTCTGTCTTTACCCGGGCAGATCAACCTGTAGAAACAATGCCGAATAAAGACAGATGCATACCCAATGCTACAGCCCAAGAATACTTACAAATCACAGTGGAATACCCGTGAAGCACTGCATCAATTGCCCATCACCGCATGAATTATCATCATCACAGCATTATATCCACCATCACACGACACCCCCAAATCCCGAGGTCCGATCTCGTCGGTGCAAAACTCTAAAATACCGAGATAATCACGCCTCAGCCGTCACTTTTACAAGCATCAGGCCATTCAATTCGCCACATCCAATCCGTATCTCCAATCATCAGCGCTTGGGTCACCGAATGAATGCTAGTAATCACGCTTGTAAGGGTCGAGCTGAAGAGGGGGTTCTCTTATGATATAATTATGCTTCCGGGAAGAAAAACGTGTATAAATATGACAACGAGGTCCTGATTTAAAGGAAGCTGCAAGTAAGAAAGTTAAACTTGACTACCATCAATTAATTGACTTTACTGTTATTGAAGGTAAGTGCGCTGATGGATTGGGATTCAAGACATGCTGACTGAAGTGAAGCTACAGCAACTCACATACCAACAAACCACTATCTACCTACCTATATCAACATTCACCTCGTCATCACCATCACAACAACAAACCTACAACCCAATTACTCAATATAACATCATCATTCACAATGGATCGCCAACCAACGGCCATCTCAACATCCCACACAACCCCTCCCTCAGAAGGTACACAGCACAGCTACACGCTTCCAATTCTGCACAAGCTGACTTCGTCATCTGCAGCTCCGACTTCTCCATCCGCCCAAGCCGGCGCCGACCGATGCATGCGCCACACGAATAGCTGGACGCCCTCCATCCAGCGACGACAGAGCTGGAGCCCGGAGGAGCAGAAGCATGAGATGCACATGAACAAAATTGAGCAGGTTGCTACAGGTCCTGGTTTTACAGAGCGAGAGGGCTCTTAGATCAAAAGCGACGCAAAGGACAAAAGGGAAATTGTAATTGTACGGAACACTCAATGGGATGGGCATGGAAAGCACAAGGATGCAAAATGGTCACGGGCATTGTACACTACAAATTGGCTATCAAAAGGAAAAGCCCAAGAGTGAACACAATTGTTATAGCTTATAATAAACGAATGTCATTGTAATCATGGCTATCGAACGATGCAAATTGATGTGCCGAGGTATCTTGACTCCGTAGCTCCGTGTTTCATGCTTCGCTGAATGCGTCCCACGTGCAAACTTCCAACAAAGAAAACAGGCTGTCATATCATAAACGCTTGGGATGGCTGATACATCCTCAAGCCAAACGCTGAGTGCCAGTACCAAACTCCAAGGAAACTTCTCGCCGTATACCTTAATCGTCAACCTCTCCAGATCTCTCATCCCTCAACATGTAAGGTGGTGTCATTCGAGCCAATTCTGAATCCCATATCCCCTAGTTCTGCGGCTTCAGATCAGAAATCCTCGTACTTGAGGAACTCGTTAACAAGGCCACCGCGTAGACCGACCCTGCAACTAAACCAGTTCCGACTAAAATCTTGCGTCCAATTCTTCTCTTCTTGGTCGACTTTTTCGTCTTGGGATTTTTCCATCGCCGACCTGCAAACCGTTCAGATCTCTTGCAATGACTATCAGTCCAAATCCTGCTAATGCTGTCAGAGGGGGGAGAGTTCCCACCCCGGCTGACCTTTTCATCGGCTGACTGCATTTTGCGGAAGATCAACATCTGCCCACTTCCCGACACTACTCCATAGCCTTCCTCCTGAAGTGATTTGAAGTAAGGTAGAAACTTGGCAGGGTTAACCAGTTTGACAAGGGCATCGGGAATAGGCATTGGCTTGTCACTGGCGCCGACTGCGGAATTGGCTTCGGCCACGCTCATCACCCTCGAAACTGGGTCAAAAGCGACAATTCTGTATGAAGCCATGCTGGGCATCTCTGGTGTCTTTGTCGTAGACTCTTTGGCCTTAGTTGTGTAATGTTTCTCCATGATAGGCATTGTTGGGTGCCCACACTCTTCGGAATAACTTGTCTGCAGACCCTGAGGTTCGTGCGAGTACGGATCCTTAATCCTCTTGGCCGCATAGCGATCCAGTGCCGTTTTTAATCTCGTGTCATCCATGGGAAAGCTCTCGTCCATAGATCCGGGCTCAACATCTTCCATAGAGCTTGAGCTTTCTGTCGCGGGTGGCGATGTTCCTGAGACATTATTGGGAAGTAGAACCGATTTGGACGATGAATTGTCCCTGCTCCAGGACCTGGCAAAATCCTCGGGAAAGTCTCTAACATAGTTTCCCGTCAGTTCGGAGGGATGCGCCGTTTTGACCTGCTGACCCTTTTTGCAAGACAGATCCTGGTTCTCGACTCCTTCACTACCTTCTTGAGCTCTGCGAAGGACCGCAGCTCGGATGACATCGGCACTTTCAGGGCCGGAAGGGTCCAGATTAGTTTCCATAGAGCCGGGAGAAGACCTGTTCGGGGATCGAGAATAAGTATATGATGCTGAATCCGGGGAATCTTGGGGACCTGCCTTGGAATCGAACTCTCGGAGGCCGCGGGCGACTTCATCCAGAGGGACCGACATCTTGCCGGCGGGTTCGTTGGGACGAACTCCTGTATACTTGCGCAGGTCCTGGAAGACCTTGGATGCGTCCTCGGGCTGAACAGGGTAGCCCTGAGCCTGGGATGCAAAGTCGGAGTGTCTGTAACTGCCAAGATCTGTGTAATTCTTGCTCAACACCTCAGGATGCACCGCTTGAACGATGTCGTCAAAGCCAGTTGATGGATACTTGTGTAGATCCCTATACTGCTTTGATGCCACTTCCGGGTGAACACGCTCCGTTTGAGGGTCACCGTTCTCGAAAGACTTATACGCACCCAAATCGGTATACTTCTTCGAAGCAACTTCGGGGTGGATACGTGGTGCTCGGTCATCCGCATTCTCGAATTTGCGGTAGGCGGGAAGATCCTTGTACACCTTGGAAGCCTCTTCGGGATGTACTCGATCGACAGGAGGTGACAAGTCACGAGCAGCGTACTTATGAACATCGCTGTAACGTTTCGACTTCTCCTCTGCCGTCAGGGGTCGCAAGCCATCAGGCTCATTCCACTTAAAGATGCCGCCGTATAAATGAAGGTCGTCATAGTTCTTGGACAACTCCTCTTGGGTAGGCTCTCTGAGACCATCGGGCTCGTTCCAGTAGTATGGACGATACAGGTGAAGATCATCATACTTGCTTGCAAAGTCCTCGACGGGAGCGTCGACCTTCGGGGCTAAAGGCTTGCCTCGCATAGTACGATCCATCTGTGCCTTCTCATGGGCCTTCAAAGCCGCCTGACTTGCCTCGGAAGGATCTGCGTATTGATCCAAATCCTTGTACTGCTTGGACTCTTCCTCAGCTGTCAGACGACGCAGGCCGTCGGGCTCATTCCATGCAACTGGTCCATACATATTAAGGTCTTTGTAGTCCTTGGAAATTTCCTCTGGCGTGAGCTCGCGCAGGCCATCGGGCTCATTCCAATACACACCCTTGTTGTACATATGAAGATCGTCGTAGTTCTTGGACAGTTCCTCAGCAGTCTGTGGTCTTTTGCCATCAGGCTCGTTGTGGTAAACAGGGCTGTACTGATCCAGATCATCATAGACCTTGGATTGCTCTTCAGCTGTCAACTGGCGTTTGGCTAGAGGGTCGTCCAGGTTCGCAGATGAGTACTTGTCAAGATCTTTGTACTGCTTAGAATCCTCCTCGGCTGTAGTAGGTCGCTTTCCATCAGGCTCATTGTACTTGACAGGGCCATATTTGTCCAAATCATCGTATTCGGTAGACTTCTCTTGAGGTCTCTCATCTATTACTGGTTCATACTTGTCAAGATCGTCGTATTTAGGTTCATCTGGCTGCCTAGTCTCAGTGTCGATAGTAGGCTTGTACTTGTCCAAGTCGTTATACTTGGGAGTCGAGTCAGCCTCAGCAGACACATCAACGAAGTCAGTTGGCTTGAGGTCTCGCTGGGCATCGAATCGAGCTGCCGTTCCGGCCATTGTGGAGTTTGACACACGACGGTTTGTTATAGGGTCAATGAAAGTAGCATCTTGTCCGTGAACAGCAGAGAAGAGGGTATCTTTCGAGCTTGCCGCACTTGTACTTGCGCGGCTAAAATGGTGAGCATTGGTCAAGGTAGCCTTGCGAATGTTGGCCTTGCTATCGCCTCGAAACAAATGCTCAATAGCACTCCGCTCCACGTCTTCGATATTCGCTCCTGGTCGGATACCAAATAAGTCGTTCGCCCAGGCCGCTACTTGATCAATGGTAGTAAACTTTGAAGGATCGACAGATTGATTGGAGCCTTTTGCAGTCTTCTTCGCAGAAGCTCTAGACCTGGCGTCCCAAGAAATGCTGCGACTCAACGATGTAGGTTGCTGGAACCTGACTGAACCACGTCGACGTCCATTTCGAAACTCAGAAGAGGTAGAGGATGACACGAGAGGGGAATAGTGTCTGCATTGCTCGCATTTCGATTGGAGCGAAACGGCAGAGCGTAAAACATTCGCTGTGCCGGTGCGAGACTGAACAAGTCGTTCACTTGTCCAGATGCGTGTTGCTGCTAGCATGGTGTAATAGAGCTATGGATGACCTAAAAGAGCCGGTTAATGTCAATACTGTGTAAGTGAGTCAATCTTGGAACACATGTTGGTTGCGAATGCCGGACATGTTGCAGATGCTATAGACTTACGGATACAAGTATGGGTGATTGAGGGCGAGCACCCAGGTGACAATCCCGGGGCTGCTATTGGAACAGTTCAAAAGGCACGGTACGTGATGTAAGGCTGGAAACCGAAGCCGTCGGTCCTGGAAGTGAGACAGTAGTGACTTAGACGATGAGGCTGTATTGAACGCGAGCGTAAAATGCTGTAAACTGGATGTGAATGATTTGAAACTGGAGAATGAAGAGAAAGGATGACGAGCTACATGAGGGGAACCCAAGACCTTAAAACACACTGGACTGGACTGGATGGACGGAACGGAAACGACGAACGACGACACGCGATGGGGCCTTGTTTGGTCAGGGACAGCCTGCGGTTCAATAAAGACCGCCCGGGGGAAGGCACTAAATGAAGTGGAGACCCTGTAAAGTTGGGGGGAGTGGAGAGGACATGGCCTAAGAAAAAGAGGGGACAAGGAGAGAAACAGCCAGTGTAAGACGAGATACCAGTTGGATTGATGATTGTGAGAGAGCTAGAGCTAGAGGAGGGGCTTGTTTGGTGACGCCGTGAAACTGTAGCACGGCTGACAGTTGTGACTCGTGTTGAAAGCTTCTTGTGTCTTGTTACTCTGTACTCCGTGCCGTGTATCCAGCCAGATTCACTCAGAGACTTCAGTCCACAACCCGGTAGAGCTTACTCCGTACCAAGCGCCGCAAACGTGTCTCAACCTGATGACGCCTTAAGTCATTGCAATCTCTAGGTATCTCAGACACTTAGGCAGTGAAGTACAGTACCTACCTACAGTTCGGACCATTCAGCCGCTGTAACGAACCGTGACTGCAGAAGCCAGACCCACTGCTCGTCGTCCATTTGCGGGGAAGAGACCATCACCCCGAAGCGGCAAGTGGACGCTGCTCCCGCCCCGCTTGTCCGTGAACCAGCCGTTGACGTCAAGCTCGCAGGGCCCAGAGCCTCTGCCTGGGAGATACCTACCTAATGATGGGCACATCTGCTTACACAGCCGCTTTTCTCTTGACCGAAAGATCTTGTGAAACAATATGGCGTAAGGACAGAGTGGCTTACCTAGTTCCAGTCCAACACGCAACTATCGTGACCTCCATAAACAGACATTCCGCTCGTTGTCAAGCGGCCGCTCAAAGTTGTTAATGGTGCGGCTCACGCGAGGTGGCAGGGGTGGTCGATGTCGGCTTATCTGGTCTCTGCTAGGGTCTTTGTGGCTTGGAACCCCTAAGACATT